CTGGTACTGTCGAGATAAAAACTGCATCCTACCCCTGCTCTGACTGCCGCCAAGTGATGCTCCAAGCTCCCTGGGAGGCTTTGGAAAGGCAGTTTCTAGTCCTCCGTTTGCGAGGAATGGCTTGCCTTCCCTCCATCGATTGGGTCCCAGCGTTGCCAGCACCTTGCTGCCACTTGGAAACACTTAGGATTTTTGAATACCAGCTACCTAAACCATCCCCGCTGGCCTTGGGGGCAGGAATGCTAATAGGCTAAAATCGTTTTGAGGCATAAGAAATGTGTCAGCATTCGAAGAAAAAAAATGCTCAAGTTTAAGAGGTGGTAGGACACCCTCCTCCTGCCCCGACCCCCGATTAAAAAGAAAGTGAAACGTGGTAATTGTTTCAAGCAAGTTTGAGCTGTTGTAAATGCTACTGGTAATGGTAATTTCTTGTAGTTTTAATTTTGGAAGTAAACAGCTTCGCCAGTCTTAGGAGAGTCGCTTTGTCCTTAAGCCCTCCCAGTTTACCCCACTCTTCAACTCTAATGGTCATATCTTGCAAGTAACGGGGATTGTGAAATTAGCATGGAAATAGGAACTTCAGGCCCTGCACTTGAATTCCTTATTATCTGTGAAGTAGCTGCCTGTGAGGGAAAAAGTAGGGGGGTTGGTAACATTGGGCCTGGAATTCCATTTTGAGTTGTCCTTAAAACCAGTATTCAGTGTAAACAAGGAAAGAGAATTGGCTATTCACTGTGATCAAATTCAGAAAGCCAAACATGAGTTAAGCACGTGTTTATAGAATATTTCATAATCTCAGTAAGATTCAATATTTAGTTGTCTTGAAAGAGAGGAAAACTTGGTATTTTTGGAACCTTAATCTTTTTATCCTTAATTTAGCATCTTGGGATTTGAAAGAGATTTTTATTTTTATTTAATTTCCCCCAACCCACCCCCAGAATTTAAGGAGATTTTTAACGTTTTGGTTTGTTTAGCTTCTCTCCTCCCTGCTCTGATGTCTCTAACTTTTTGTACTAGCCATTAATTTTGCAATGGATGGCAGATTTTTCAATCTAGGATTTTTCATTGTAGATTATCCATATTGAAATTTAGAGATAATTCTAATATTGAACAAAGAGTTCAATGCATACATTGTAAGAAAGTTGAATATTTTTGGCTGTTTTGATTGAACATTTATCTTGTTTTTCTTCCAAAATATTAATTGTCCCAGATTTTTTAGCTTAAAAACATTTAAGTGGTAAGTGAATCTGTATTGAGTATACTACACAATGATACACTTTTTTTGGATACTTAAAATGGTAAATCTGTTGAAGATTTGGGTTAAATATTTGACATATATTGTTTCTACTTAATTGTCTTTACCCTTCTTTCTCATTTTTCGTTTTCTACAGAAAGAAAGAAATAAGTTATCACATAAACCCTCTAGCTCCATGTACTTTTCCTCCATAACCCTTTTCCTCCATGTACTTGAAACTTATTGAGTATTATAGCATTGGTGGTACATAAGAGGATTTTCTGCTCCTTGGGTCGTTTGAGGGCAGAGTCTGATTGTATTTTGTTTGTATCCCTAGTACCTGACTATCTGCTTAACATGGAGGAAAACCCCCAGGAAATGTTTGTTGAATTGTGTTTTTGAATGATACAGAGATACAGAGAAAGGCAACATGTTGGCTTCTTGGTGGCCAAAAAATGTTCTTTGAAGTTTTTCTCCTTCCTGTAATGTTAGGCAGAACAAACATGGTTGCCAGATTCTATTGGAGTTGTCTGGTTGAGGGAGATTAGAGGGAGACTAGGGCACAGGTTTAAGAGTCCAATCAAGGTGGGAAATGTGGGCCCAGTCATTTGGATTCAGTAATGGGGGATAGTTTTGCCATTAAGCCCAATGTAAATAGGTGACAAATAACTAAAATATAAGAGGATTTTATAATACTGGCTTTCTGGCAATGATTAAGATTATTGAAGTACATTGGTTTTTCACAACACTGTCAGATACCATAAAACTTTATTATAAAGAATTTTTAGTGGAGTTCTACATAACATAGGAATAGCTAATTTATACTTGTTAGGCCAAGTCATGAATGTGCTAGAATGATAGTCTAGGCATTTTACACAAAGTATTTGAACACCATTTTCTAGACCCATATCAGAATGCTCAATCTTTTTGTGAACATTTCCCCATTGTTATAAAGTTAGCAGTAGACTGATGTATAAGTATGGTGGCACGACACTAATGATAAATATTTTGGAACAAAATTGCCATGACGGAAATACTTAAAAGTAGTGATGGGTGAGGAATTCAAATAACCTGGTGGCAGAACTTGCTTTCTAGGAGCTTTTTCTTAGAACATCATCAACTAGATTCAATTTCTGTGCTGCTGGGGAGGCAATGTTAGAGGTCCGGGGTAAAAGGGTATCTTTTTTGTTTAATGAGGAGTTTCAAGCGAAATCAGGGTAATTACAGATTCTAGATCTCTAGAGGAAGAAAGAATAACCAGGATCTTTCTAGGGATAAAGGAAAGGAAATACATTATGATTGACAAGAAGAGATGCCAAAGCACATAATAGGCATAATAACATACCTAAGAGGGAGAAGGGAGTTCATTGTGTTCGTTCAATAATTTCTTCCTTCAAAATTTTGAACTCTTTTGTACCAGGCACTATGCTTGATCCTTGGCATTTTGCAAACATCTCTTAAGAGCACAGGGTACTAATGAAATAAATGGAAATTTGGAAACTGCTCATAAGGACTGTAATAGTAATTAGGGCAAACCCTAATTAGGGTTTGCCCTAATTACTATGGAAAAAGTTATTTTTATTCTTATCCAAATACATGCAAAGATTGTGGTGGCTAGTCATTCTTAAGACCTACTTCCTATTGAAATTGCCATTTCCTCCTATCTTTTATTATGGAAAATAACAAATATTCCTACTTTTAATAGCTTTTAGAAGATCTGTTTAGGTTATTTGGTACTGTTGAAAGAAAATTAAGTTTTGTGGGGCGCCTTGGTGGCTCAGTCACAAGCAGCCGACTCTTGATTTTGGCTCAACTCATGATCTCTGGGTGAAATCAGCCCTGCGTGGGGCTCCAGCTCAGTGTGGAGTCTGCTTGGATTTCTCTCTCCCTCTCCCTCTGTCCTTCCCCGCCTCAAATAAATAAATAAATAAATAAATCTTTAAAAAAGAAAAAGTTAAGTTTTGTTGTAAAAATTATCTTTAAAATTCAACATATGCCAACTCTTTAACATCCATCCTTCTAGTAGGTTCTCTAATGAGATAAAGATGATTATTGTAACATAATTTTATTTAAAAATTTCTTCTTTTTTTTAAGATTTATTTTAGAGAGACAGAAAGCACACACACACTGAGGGGGAGAGACAGAGGGGGAGATAGTCTTAAGCAGACTCCATGCTGAGCACAGAGCCCAAGGTGGAGCTGGATCCCACCATCCAGAGATGACCTGAGCTGAAACCAAGAGCCCCTCACTCAACTCGCTGCGCCACCCACACACCCCTAAATATTTATTCTTTATGCCCAGTGGTACATATGTTTTTTTCTTTAATGTAAGTAGAATGTATTTAAGTATTTATATAAAATGTGCACACCCATTTCCTATGAAACAGTAGTAAATATCCCGGTTATGAAAAGTTTTTAAAAAATTAAACATTCTCAATGTGGTCATCTGTGTATAAAAACATTTTAACAAAAGATGTGTAGGAAGTGGTTGGTCATAGATGGGAGTAGGAAAGTATATATTGTGCCACAATTTGAAGGCTCTTATAGGCCATTTTAAGGAGTTTAGATTGATTTTGTGGTCTTTCAAGACTATTAAACAATTTTTAAAAAATGTATAAAACTGTGCTATGAGACACACTAGAAACTATATAAAATGCAAATGTCAGTGATGATTATTTAAGTATGAGCTATGGAAAGGGAGAAGCTTCTTAATAAAGTATAACATTATTTTAGCTTCTATTCAGATTTTAAAAGACTATTTTTAGGAGTATATATTAGCCGGATCCCACGTTCTGTGTTACTTTTTTAAATAGTAATTAGTTTGGCTATTTTTGTGTGTTTATTTTTCTGGTAACTGCCTGTCTTTCATAAAAACATATTTTTTAAAGCAAAGAATCTGAAAATTTGTGCTACTAATTGCAATGACTAGAGGATTGAGATGACTTTTATGTGACCGATCTTTAGTAACTGACCTCCTATAGGAATTTCCAAAGCTTGTAACAATATTGGACCTTTCCATGTTTTCTTTCTGTCTTAAGATGAAATAAGTGGAAAGGAGTGGTCACCTGAAAAGATCATTTTGTTGAGGGTAACAAATTTATAGTGGAATGTTAATTTTTTTAAAACATTTTATTTATTTATTAGAGAGAGAGCATAAGCAGGGAGTGGTAGGGAGGAGGGACAGAGGGAGAGGAAGAAGCAGACTCTCCACTGAGCAGGGAGCCAGACATGGGGCTCTGTCTCAGGGACCTAGGATCATGACCTGAGCTGAAGGCAGATGCTCAACCTACTGAGCCACCCAGGTGCCCCAGAATGTTAATTTTTGAAGAAAAAATTAGCTATCCTTCTAAGTTTTCAGTGATTTTTGTAGCTCTTAGTAATATTTGTATTTGGAGCACAAATATTTATTTAAAAGGTCACTACATACCCTACTAAAACTTAAAATAATCTTTTTTAACTCTTTTATTCGTTTATTTTATTATTTTATTATTAGAGATTTGATTTTGGGGGTGTCTGGGTGGCTCAGTCAGTTAAACCTCTGACTCTTGATATCAGCTCAGGTCTTGATCTCAGGGTCGTGAGTTCAAGCCCCATTTTGGGCTTCACACTGGGTTTGGAGCCTACTACTACTTTTTTTAAGTAATCTCTATACCCAACATGGGGCTTGAACTCACAACCCAAGATCAAGAGCTGTACACTCCACCAACTGAGCTAGCCACGTGCCCCTATTTATTTTTTTATTTTTATTTTTTTAAAGATTTTATTTCTAAGTAATCTCTACTCCCAACATGGGGCTCAAATTCACGACACCATGATCAAGAGTTGATCTCTAGGGGCTCCAGGGTGGCTCAGTTCAGTGGGTTAAGCCTCCTGACTCTTGATTTCAGCTCAAGTAATGATCTCAGAGTTGTGAGATCGAGCCCTGTGTGTTGGGCTCCCAGCTGCGTGTGGAGCCGGCTTAAGATTCTCTCTCTCCCCATCTCCCTCCGCTCCTCCCTGTCCCCACTCCCCCACCCCCACCCAAAAAAGTTGAATGCTCTATTAAGAGTTGCATGCTAGGGACGCCTGGGTGGCTCAGTTGGTTAAGTGTCTGTCTTCAGCTCAGGTCGTGATCCCAAGGTCCTGGGATCAAGTCCCCCATTGGGGTCTTTGCTCAGTGGGGAGCCTACTTCTCCCTCTGCCTGCAGCTCCCCATTTGTGCTCTCTTTGACAAATAAATATATTTTAAGATTTTTATTTATTTATTTGACAGAGAGAGACACAGCCAGAGAGGGAACACAAGCAGGGGGAGTGGGAGGGGGAGAAGCAGGCTTCCCGCGGAGCAGGGAGCCTGATGTGGGGCTCGATCCCAGGACCCTGGGATCATGACCTGAGCTGAAGGCAGACGCTTAATGACTGAGCCACTCAGGCGCCCCTAAATAAATAAAATCTTAAAAAAAAAAAAGTTGCCTGCTGTACCACCTGAGCCAGTCAGGTGCCTAAAACAATTTGAATCAGGGGTGGGGAAGTATGTCTCAGTTTACTTTTGTATAAAATCTTTTTGGGGTATCTGAAAGCACACAGAATGGGACAAGACGTGGTAGGCTGTGGTTAAGGATGGAGAAAGTAGGATGATGATATTACAAAATATCAGGAAACTGTGCCTTGACTGACCCTGAGGGAAAAATGGCCACTTGGTTGAGGATGGGGGGCAGTTTTAGTGATCCATGACTTCCTATTTTTTTCTCTTTCTCTCTTTCTTTCTTTCAAGTATAATTCTTTTTTTTTTTTTAAAGATTTTATTTATTTGAGAGAGAGAGACACAGCGAGAGAGGGAACACAAGCAGGGGGAGTGGGAGAGGGAGAAACAGGCCTCCCGCTGAGCAGAAGCCCGATGAGGGGCTCGATCCCAGGACCCCGGGATCATGACCTGAGCCGAAGGCAGATGCCCAACGACTAAGCCACCCAGGAGCCCTATAATTCCTTTTTTTTTTTTTTTTTTTTTTTAAGATTTCATTCATTTATTTGTCAGAGAGAGAGCATGGGCACAAGCACGGGGAGTGGCAGGCAGAGGGAGAAGCAGCCTCCCTGCGGAGCAAGAAACCTGATGCAGGACTCCATCCCAGGAGCCCGGGATCGTGACCCAAGCAGACTGAGCCACCTGGATGTCCCTAGACTTCCTATTCTTTTTTTTAAGATTTTATTTATTTATTTGAGAGAGAGAGCACAAACAGGGGGACAGGCAGAGGAAGAAGCAGATTCCCCACTGGGCAGGGAGCCTGATGCGGGGCTCCATCCTAGGACCTTGGGGTCATGACCTGAGCAGAAAGCAGACGTTTAACCGACTGAACCACTCAGGCACCCCAATCATATAGGTTTTATAGTCATGTTGTTTCAGGCTACCAAATTCTTGGCACAATCAATTTGTATTAAATGCAGGTCTTGCTTCAGTTCTCTTTATGACATTTGAATAAGTGGTTAAGAATAGGAGATATTGTCCCTCCCTGGCCATAGGGAACCTACCCAACAGTTCAGTGGGTATGAACTGGATGAATATACAAACACAAGAATTCACATTTGGTACAGCCCAAGTTCTTTAGGAAGTTAGAGAAGAGATTTGTTTATTTAAAGTAATGTCTAGGGGCGCCTGGGTGGCTCAGTCAGTTAAGCGTCTGCCTTTGGCTCAGGTCATGATCCCAGGGTCCTGGGATGGAGCCCCGCATTGGGATCCCTGGCTCAGCAGGGAGCCTGCTTCTCCCTCTCCCTCTTCCTGCTGCTCCTCCTGCTTGTGCTCTCTCTCCGTCAAATAAATAAAATCTTAAAAAAAAAATTAAGTAATGTCCATACCCAACATGGGGCTCAAACTCACGAGCCTGAGATGAAGAGTCGCGTGCTCTATGAGTGAGCCAGCCAGGCACCTCAGAAATCTACTGTTTTATTGGACTATGGGGAACAGAGGATTTTTTAAAAGATTTTATTTATTGGAGAGAGAGCACATACGAGCTGTGGGGAGGGGCAGAGGGAGAGGGAGAAGCAGATTCCCCAATGCGAAGGGAGCAGGGAGCCCAACGTGGGGCTTGATCCTGGGACTCTAGGATCATGACCTGAGCCCAGAGCAGATACTGAACCAACTGAGCCACCCAGGTGCCTGTGGGAAACAGGATTTTAAGTTAAAATCTCAAAGGAAACTTGAAGTTTGATTTGCCAGCATAGTACCATAGAGGAGAGTGAGAGTCTGGATGATTGGAAACCAGTTTGGAGGTTACTGCTGTACCTCAGGAATGATATAATAAAGTCTATAATAAGTATGATAACTGCAAATGAAAAGACTTGGGGAGTGATGATCTTATATACATAGGTGACAGATTGAGTGGAAAAGATGGAAGGGAGGAGTTAAAAAAAAAAACAAAAACAAAACCTAGCCTGGGTACTTGAACAATACTATACTATCTTTAATAAGAGGATACTGGAAAAGAAACTAACTCTGTGAAGGCAAGATGTAAGCTGAATTTGTAGTGTGCCTGAGACTGGTTCAGAAAGGTTTGGTGGTCAGCTATCTAGATCTGATCATTGAAACTCTGCCAATAGGATGAGCTATTGAAATAGATGTCAGAAAGGTATTACTCCATGCTTAAAGCCTGGATTGTATGTTGCAAAGGGCTATAATCTGAGTAAATGAAAATTAATTTCAGATAGTCTTCACTGGGTGGTTAAGTATAAACAATTTTGTGCTGTTGAACTGTAACAAGTTAAATATTTTACCCATGAGATTTGATTTTTGCGTGATGTAAATTTTTAACTAAAAATACTATATTTAATAAGATCAAATGTTTTATTTCTCTTTTAGTCATTTTAGTTTTCTATTCCATAATTGCTTTAATAATTAAATATATGTTAACCCTATGTAAAATAATCAGCTTTCAGTAAGTCAAATACAATTATTTTCTTAAACTAGAGATTTGCTGCAAGGAATTTTACACTTGATCTTAGCCAAAAGGCTGAGAAGGGATTGCTGCAGGGAATTTTAAAAATAAAAATGCCTAGTTATAGGGCATGAAAAGTTTAAATAGTTTAAATGGTTTTCTTTGAACCAATTAAAAATTTTGTCTTTAAGCAGTGAAGAATGACAAAGCTTTCAGAATATTTATAAATCCATCTGTCTTTAAAATAAAGGTAGCATCCTTGGTTTTAAAAAAGCATTTCATAGATATTAATTGGAATTTAAGTGTGAAACATTTTTTAAATGTATGAGAAAATGATAGTATAGATCATTTTAATCTTTATATATAGATTTCATTCAAAACATCATGACTATTTGTGTGTTGCTATTATATATAGGCACAGGTAATATTTTATCAGATTCTATATGGAGGATGCAGAAATATTGTTATCTCTCTTTAAAGTGAATATACTGCTAAAAATTACATAACCAAAAAAAAAAAATTACATAACCAACCTGCAAGCTAAACAGTCAATACATTTCTCCTCAGTGGATTAGCAAATGAGAAGAAGTGCTCTTAACCCAGTGGAGGAAAATAGGAAGTGTCAAGAAAATACTCCCATCCCCCTTTTCTTTTCCTCCAAGCTTTTAGATCTTTGCGTGATGAGGCCCCCTTGGGGATACCTTGCTAAGTGTCTTTGAGCTTTGGCTCTAGGCAGCAGACCAAACTGGAAACTTCAGGTGGCAGCAGGCTGGTTTGCTGGCTCCTGATTACTTCCCTCTCCTAGTTTCTTTCATAAGTAGACGGGGTAAGTGGGCCCCCTGCTCTAAAATCTTAATCTCCTGATCTGTCATTCCACCACTGCGGTTTCGCTTCTTTGTGGGTTTTTGTTTGTTTGGTTTTGTTTTTAAAAATTTATTTTTAAGTAATCTCCACATCCAACATGCCACTCAAACTCACAACCCTGAGATCAAGAGTCTCATGCTCTACCAACTGAGCTAGGCAGGCTGAAACCCTGGTTTCACTCCTTAGGATTTTTTAAAGATTTTATCTTTGAGATAAAATCCTTTTAAAATGCAAATACCCTGGGAGAGGTCAGACCTTAGTTCTTAATTATCAGCTTAATTATCAGCTAGCACCTTAGCTGGGCTTAGTACACAGATGGCTGAGAAGAATGAACCCCTGACTAAAAGTGATAAAACTAGAAGGAAAGAAGGAAATTAGTAGTAGTAGTAGTAGTAGTAGTAATAGTAGTAGTAGTAGTAGTGGTAGTGGTGGTGGTAGTGGTAGTAGTAGTGGTAGT